CGACCCGGCTCCGCGCCCCGCACCCGCGCGCGGAGCCCCACAAACCGCGCGCCGCCGCCTCGCTCAGCGCCACGCGTTCTCTGCGCTTGCGCGGTAACCCGGAAGCGATCACTACCAGAAGGCGGGCCCTGCTGTAGGTGTGCGCGCATGCGCCGAATAGCTGGCGCGCTCGTTACCATGGTAGCCAGAGCGTCTAGCAGCCCGCTCTGTACCTCAGGATCTCAGAGTATTTCCGCTGGGCCTCCGCGCGGTGCCGCGCTAGAACCGTGATTACGGTCTTCGGTTCTCGGAGCCCAGCCACCGCTGGGGGCGGGGTGGGTCCCAGCCGTCGCTGTCTGCGTGGGGCCCCACCCAACCGGCGTCTTACTTTAGGGTGAGGTTTCAATTTGGGCGTAACACCTAAGGCACTGTCGTGAGCACGGCTATCGGAGGCCCCCTTCCTGGGGCCTTCCTGCCACAGACACCGGGTCAAGATGAGGTCTCTCTTCACGTGTGTGCATCTGCCTGCGTATCTGCTCGGGTGGAAGGATAGGGCACTGTCGCAATAGTGGAGGGCGGCGTCACAATTCTAATGGGACTGGACTGCTCCCAGACTTTCCTGGTGTTGGGCTAGGGGCGGGGTGCGGGGGGGCTGGAGTAGAGATTGGACCTGGGAGACGGCTGTGTCACCGCGCTTTTATCCTCCGCAGAGCCCTCCCATGGCTTCCCAGGATAGGGTAAAGGCAGTGACCAAAGGAACGGGCTTCTGTCGCTGCCCCAAGCAGACCACTTACACCCTTGGAACCTGCGAGCTCCTCAGAGGTTTGTACCACGCTTAAAGGACAGGGTAAGAGCAGAGGTAGCAGTTATCCTCTGAAACTCAGGTCTCCCCTAGGTGACCTGTGGCTTCGTCATTGCTATTTTCATTTTACAGAGGAGAAGCCTTGGGTTCAGGAAGGTTCAGGTCCTACAACTTACTTGCAAGTGGCTAAAAGTCAAGGAATAAAGGATTTCAGAGTAGATCATTCTTGTGCATTCCTTAGATCGAACTTTCTGTTTCCTCCCCGGGAAGCCTTATCTCCTCCTCCCCCACCCCCACCACCACCACCAACAACAACTGTTATGTGCCCTCACCTTACCGAATACCTTTTCTTCATTGGACTCAGCATAACCTGTAGTCAGATATTCAGCGTGTCTCATTGGATCAGTATCCTACACCCCTAGCCCGGGAACTCCATCAGGGTATGGTTGTTTCTGTTTTGGCTCCCTAGTGTAGCTCCAGTGCCTGACACATGCTTTGTGAATACTTGCTCAATCATTCATTTATGCATTCCTTCACTCAATGAAAAACATTTAAAAGCCCACTATGTGCTTTGTTCTAGCTGGTGAGGATACAGCATTAAAAAAAAGAAGAAAAAAAACAGCAAAAATTTTTGCTCTCATGGAGCAACTATTTTAGTGGGAGGGTACCAAAGTCTATAGAGCTATGGTGACGGGTGCTACAGGACAAAGTAAAGCAGGAGAGTAAGCGAGGGAGTGCTTGGGTGCAGAATGGTGGGAGGAGGTGACAATTTTGCATTTCAGTGGTGAGAGGTGAAGGCTTCTGCCCGCAGCCCCGGTGGCCTGACTGAAGTGCTTTCTCTTGCAGTGATGATGAAGGAATCCAAACTGACTAAGTTCCAACAGCGACACATCATGGACACCATGAAAAGTAAGGGTCAGTCCACGGAGGCTTGCTGGACAGAGGGGTTCGGGGCCACCTTTTTAGTGCTCTTCCATCTTAAGGAGTAGTGGGCATCCTTTCCAAAGACCAAGACAGTACAGCCCCTGGGGAATTGGCCTTGAGGGGCCTTTGTTACTCCCTCCGACATTCGTCCGGGCACAACCAGCTTCCTGCAGTCCCGCTCTAGACAGCCTCCCCAAGAGATCACAGAGCAATTGGAACTTCTTGCCCAGCCAAAATGGTCTCAAAACTGTCATGTTTGCAATCTGTTCCTCCCTGTGACACGCATGCCATATGAGCTCCCCAGAGGAGAGAACTGTGTATGTGTGTGTCTTGTTGTTTTATCCATTCATAGCTTAGCTAGCAGAAACAAGAAAATGGGCAGAATTCCAACTTGGGCTGGGAAGACTATGCAAAGCCTTTGCACGGCTCACCTCTGACCACAAATTGTAGTATTTGGCGGCGGGCGGGCACTAAGATCTTGTAAGCAACCTCACTTTCTGAGATTCGACTGAATCAACATTTAATGGATCAGAACAGAGTCCTGGACAGTTGCCTTTAAGAGACAGAATGCCAGCCCTGGCTGGTGTGGCTCACTTGGTTGGAACGGTATCTGGTACCAAAAGGTGGCAGGTTCGATCCCCAGTCAGGATCATCCATTGATGGTTCTCTCTCCCTTTCTCTCTCTCAAATCTATAAGAGAAAGAGAGAAAGAAAGAGAGAGAGAGAGAGAGAGAGAGAGCCAGAGCAAGCTTGACCATTTTACTTGATTCTATCGAAAGCTATCGCCTTCTCTGAAGAAAGAATGTGTGTATCGGGAAGGCATCTGATTAATCGCAGAAGCATAGGAAGGGAGAGTCAGGGAGGCAGATAAAGGCAGCGTCTGCTGAGCACCGGCTGGGGAGGGAGGGAGGACCCATCAGGCCAGGTCATGGGTCAGATGTCCTTCCTTATTGTGGGCAAGGGCATCTCAGGCTGCCAGAGCCGAGTGCCATAGCACATCTGAGTCATAACGGAGTCAGCAGCATACTAATAAATGGTGTCCCCTGTCACACAACGACAGAGAACGTCCTAGAATGCCACTAAAAGTCAGTGCCAGAAGACCAAGGATCACGTCTGCCTTGTTCTCTGGGGTAGCCCCAGCACCCAGGCGCTCAATATTTATTGAAGGATTAGTGGTTAGGCCAACACGAGTAACTGGCTCACCTGGCAGTGTTATTCCCCTTAGAGGTTTGGGTTTTTTAATTGCCCCAAGCATTGCTGTTGAATCTGCTTTCTTCTGGACTCTCTTGACTTCTCTCCTCTTATTCAGATCCTACTGTTGTTCTGAGCCTTGGTTCAAATTCTGTTGCAAGCCACAAATTTCTCTCCTTTAAATGAACTCCCAGAATTACCCGGGCCATAATTATTTGCTGAGAATGGGCCAAAGGAAGAGGGAGCATCTGGCACTGGACAGGCAGAAACAGGGGGTGGAGGGAGCAGGGGGACATTCTAGGAAGCACAGCATCACTTTATTAAATCATTTTTTTAAATGTTTTATTGATTTTTTTTTTTTTACAGAGAGGAAGGGAGAGAGATAGAGAGCCAGAAACATCAATGAGAGAGAAACATCGTCTACCAGCTGCCTCCTGCACACTCCCCACCAGGGATGTGCTCGCAACCCAGGTACATGCCCTTGACCGGAATCGAACCTGGGACCCTTCAATCCACAGGCCGACATTCTATCCACTGAGCCAAACCGGTTAGGGCCACAGCATCACTTTAGAAGAGAGACGCAGAGCGCCGTGTGAAGGGAAGGTCAATGCGAAACACTGGCAGCTCCGTCCTTCCAGACCCCACATCTGACCCAGCAGCCAGCCCATCGCCTGACCTTCAGCCCATATCCTGGCTGCCTCTGCCCTTGGCCCCCAACACTGTGTTATATTTTCAACAGCAACCAAGAGGATCATGTCATTCCTCTGCTCAGAGCCCTCCGATGGCTTCCAACCTCACACAAAGTAAGAGCCAGTCTTTCCAGAGGCCTACAGGGCCCTGTCCTTCTCGTGTCTTCCATGACCTCTGACCTCTACTCCCACCACACCCCCCTTGCTCATGGCTTTCCTGGCACCCTCGCCTCCTGGCTGTTGCTCAGACATTCCAGGCACATTCCCACCCCAAGGCCTTTGCTCTCGCTGCTCCCCCTGCCTCCAATGCTCTTCCCTGAAATATCTGCAGAGCTGGCCCCTCACCACGGTCGGGTCTTTTCTCTTCATGAGGGCGTCCCTGGCCACCCTACTTAAATTGTGAGTCCTGCTGTCACACACTATACGCTCCACCACCTAACATACTACGCATTTTATTTTCCCTTATTCCACACCCCAGATGCAGGCGCCACGAAGGCAGGACTTTGTCTCTCTTACCACTTCACCCCCAGTGGTCTGGGCCTGGCACAGAGTAGATGCTCATTACATATTTGCCAGGTGGATGATAGAAGAAGGTGGAATAGGGGCCAGATCCAAACAGGGCTGGCCTAGCGGAGGAGCCCCAGGTCTGGGCCAGGGCAATGAGACAGATTTGTGTCTGTTACCATCTAAACCATCCCTCCTTCCCTGTGGACCAAGCAGGTTTTAGGAATCCATCTATCAAAATAAAAGCACCGGTACGAAGGCTTGGTGTGCAAGAATGTTTATTGCAGTGTTGTTTGAAGTAGTAAAAATAAAATAAAGACAGCCTGAATTTCTGAAATGCAGAGACTAGTTGAATATATGATGTAGCCATCGTAAAAACTTAGTTACATAGCCCTGACGGGTTGAGCTCAGTGGATAGAGCATCAGCCTGCGGACTAAAGGGTCCCAGGTTCGATTCCGGTCAAGGGCATGGACCTTGGTTTCGGGCACATCCCCAGTGGTGGGTGTGCAGGAGGCAGCTGATTGATGTTTCTAGCTCTCTATCCTTCTCGCTTCCTCTCTGTAAAAAAATCAATAAAAATATATTTTAAAAAATAAGTTACATGCAAATGGAGTGATCTGGAAAGAGATCCGTGATACACTGTTAAGTGAAGAGTGTTATGGAATGTAGCGCAGTGTGGTCCGTTGTATGAGCATGTTTCTATAGTATCATACAGAGCGGACGAGACCGCCAAATTGCTACCATTGCAGAGGGGGGCTGGGAGGGAACGAGGAAGACTCTTCTGCACTATTAGCCTCATTATGAAAGGTGCCAATTTATAAATTGATACAAATCCAGGGGACCCCCCACCCCAACCTTTTCCTCCCCAGAAGGAGAAGCCCTGCCCCTGTCCTGCAGCCCGACGTCCAGCCAGAGGGTCTTGCCTACCAAGCAGCCGGCCTCAGCCGTCTGCCTGCCTCCCATCCTGGCGGCCCGGTCCCAGCTCCGGCCTGCCAGCATGTGCCAGGCCAACGGGGCCTACAGCCGGGAGCAGTTCAAGCCTCGAGCCACCCGTAAGTGAGAGGGCCTGGACCAGAGCCCCTCTTACCCCCGTCCACGAGGGGCAGGAGGGTGCGGGGAGATGAGCACAGCAGGTGAGCACGAATCTACTCAAATTCTCCCGCTGTTGGCGCCAATGCTCTTGAGCCTTGGCACGTTAGCCGGGGACCGTTCAGGGTGCAGCAGGAAACAGGTTGTCCTTTTTCAGAAATTTTCCAGAATGCTCTTCAACAATTAACTGGATTCTCTCCATTTCTGATGTGTGGCTGGCCGTCAGACCTCATGGCCACGGCTCTCTCAGGCTGACACGGTGCCTCAAATCCAGAGCTCTCTGCACCCCAGCCTGCTGCAGGGAGCCCTCAGCCCCTTCCTCCGTGGCATGTCACAGAACTCTGGGCCCAGACCCCGCTACACTGCACACAGGCCGCCATGTGGCGGTCACTGCGTTTTCTTACCTTGCTCTGCACCGAGCCGTGTGTGGGTTCTGACGAAGCTCTCTTCTTGGTTCTTCCCACCCCTTTCCCTGCCTGTCTGGACAAGGCAGGCTCAGGAGCGCGTGGCTAGACGGTGCCGGGATTGCAGAAGCCACCTCCATGTTCCCCGGGCACCTTGGAGCGAGCATGCCCAGTTGGGAACACCGGCCATGAACCGGGGTGCCCTCGTGCCTTAACTAGGCCTTTTCTGGGCCTTACAGGCGATCTGGAGAAGGAGAAGCAAAGACTCCAGGACATCTTTGCCACGGGGAAGGACAAGGAGGAACGGAAAAGGAAGCCACGTGCTGTGCAGCAGAAGGACCCAGCCCCTGAGACGGACCGGTTTGAAGAACGTGAGCCCGGATGGGCCAGTTGGCGCTGGGGAGGGGAGAGAGGGGCCCAGAACCGGGAAGGGTTGACCCCTGAGGGCTAACTAGCGAGACACAATGTGACTACAGAACTGCTTCCTCCCACAAGAGGCAGTCCCTGCCCCCCCACCCCTCCCAGAAGCCTGACGGCCCCCATCGCCCTGAGCGATGACCACCCTTCTCTCTGTCCAGTGGTCAAGGAGATCCAGGAGAGGAAAGACTTCCTGGCTGAGATGGAGGCCCTGGGCCGGGCCAGACAGTACCGAGGGCTCATCCTCACGGAGATCTCCCAGGTAGGACAGGAGCAGGCGGTGGCGGGGATGTGGCACCGTGAGAAGTATGGGGTCCGAGTGGAAAGGAAGGCCGGCTGTGGCTGAGGCTGGCAGAGTCCAGCTCTGGCCTCGTCTGTGTTGGCGCCTGGAGCTCCTGCCCTGATGCCCAGCTTTCCCTGCTGCCCTTGCAGAAACTACGGGAAATGGAGGACATCGACCACCAGAGGAGCAAGGAGCTCAGGAAGGCTCTGGCCACCGCCTAATCCGTCTCCAGGGGCGGAGCGGCCCAGCCTTGACCACTGGGGCCCACCCCGATGCCAAGCAGGGTCATGCCCAGGTCACCCACTCAGGCCTCCAGCCATGTCAGATGGTCATACAGCAGTATGACCATCTGACATGGCTGGAGGCACTGCCCTGGCCTAGGGTGCAGGCTACCCGGGCATACACAGCACCCTATAAAATGGACGTCAGAGAACGGTTCTTCCCGAGACTGCACCCAGGGGTCCTGGGTCAGCTGTGCCTCTTGAGATCCAGTACTGGCCTCCTGAGAGCTCCAACCGGCTTTGACTCTTTCCTTGGGGAAAGAGCCCCATTCAGAGTGAAGGCAAGGCCCGTCTCCCCATCGTGGACAGAGGTTTGAGGGCAGCCACAGGCCCGCGTCCCACCACCTGCCTCGCTGCGTCCCCATGGTTAGTCTTCTGAACTCGGGAATGAACATGGCTCCTTTCTTCCTACCTGTCTTAGGGCCTGCTTCTTTGACTTCTTACAGCCTTAGGCAAATGTTTAACCACTACGGCGAATTGGCCAATAAAACACATTTAACGCAGGTCATGACACATTACACTCACCCTTTTGTTTCCAGAGGGATAAGGCTTATTTGTTCAAGGAGTTAGATTTTTTCAAGCCTGTTTCCAGCTGTTTGCATATTTCAAGTGGAAATGGGAACGAACCTCTTGAGCGCCCCCTAGCGGGCACTGTGGCAGGTGCTGGATTCCTCTCGCAGTCATTCTCTCCATACCCTGTCCCCCCCACAAAGATTGTCATCCCACCGTGAAAACGGAGGCTCAACACGCTGCAAAAACCAAGGTCATGTCGCTAGCAAGCAGCCGACTCAGGGTTAAGTCAGCTTTGCGTCTTTCCACCAAGCCCACGGTTCCGGCCCCAGCCTCAGCTCCGACCCTCACCTGTGAGGCCCAGCCTCAAAGGAGGCGTCTGCCCAGCACGGCAGCCCGGCCGGGCACACTGCACAGCCCCCACAGCTTTGGCAATCACGAGCTCTCCTGTCCCCGGCAGTCTGTCATTTCCCATCTCCGTAAATCAAAATATTTTGGAAATGTCCAGCAGCCCTTCCACCCGCGAGTCATATAACCCTGCAGGCGACATGACCCAAGTTTTGGTTTGTAGGGTAAACTCCACCTGCAGCCTCAAACAGATCAGGGAGGGGGGCCAGATCAAGGGCTGGTTCTGGAATATTCCACGTGAAGCCTGTGTCCACCCGCCCTCCGGAACCTGAGGCCAGAGGGCGCACCATGACAAGGCCCATCCTCCCCCGGCGAGGCAGCAAACTGGAGAACCCAGGATACATTCAGCCTGCCCTCGATTTAATTTCAGATTAGTTGCCAACATTACAAATTACACACACACACAATCTGGATTTCTAGCTTCTTTTGAAAAATGGAAAGATCTGACGACACTGGGCACATGGCCACGGTAGTCCCCACCACCCGAGTCTCCTGACACTGAGGCACCTCAGCCCGGTTCCTGCATCCTGGCCCCCGAAAGGCCCTGGAGTCGGTGACCCAGCCCCAGGGCAACAGGCACATGAGGAAGGGGACTGCCAGGGCTACGCAGCGGGAGCCACCTCTCCTCCAGAGCAAGGGAGTCGCGCCCGAGGGCGGGCAGTGAGGGCCAGAGCCCCTACACGCTTCCTGGGCCACCGGTGAGGCCAGGCACCGGAGGCACCCGGGAAAGAAGGCAGCCCTGGCCAAGGGCACAGCGCCCGAGGCTGCAGGGCACGGCAATCAAGTGGTCTCCATTCATTGTGGGGGTGAATACAGTGAGATCTTCCCCAGAGGCGTGCTGAGGGAAGGGGCCTGGAGGTCCCAGAACTAGCTTATCGCCACAGTGCTTCGACAAGAGCTGCGGGCACAGTCCCTGGGGAAAGGCCTGGTCCCCACTGCTCCTCCCGGTGGGGAGAGGCGGTCAGTCCTTTGGTGGGAATCAGTCGGGGAGAACAAGCAACAGGAGAGTGAGGAGATGGACAGACTGGTGGTGACCACACGCAGGAACGGGCCCTACCCCCCCCGGGTGGGGGGGAGCCTCAGACGACAGTGTGTTAGAGACCGGGATTAGCACCTACACCAAGCAGACCCCTCAGCGATCAGGGAGCTGCCTCGAGGCCCTTGTGGGGAGACTCAGCTTAGGGCCCCCAGGTCCCCAGTGCAGCCATCACAGCCCCTGTCCTGTGAGGTTCCTACAGAGCAAGGAACGAGGGAAGCGCCTCCTGGAACTCAGAGACGGAGGGAGGGTTTTGTCCATCAGCCGCACTCATGGCTGAGGACACAGTCACTGAGCAACACGGAGACTTCATAAATAGAGCTCCCGGGAGGAGAAGCAGACTCGGGCCCCTGCCCGGAGGAAGACAGGAACTGGGCCGGGCCGGCAAGGAAGCAGCAGCGGAGCCAAGCCCGGCTCTGCCTGCGAGGAGCAGGGCCCTGGAGGCAGGAGGCCGGGCGCACACCTCGTGGGGGAAGGGCCCTCGGGTCCAAACTTTAACAGCGAAGAATCCCGTCTGGACGTGGCCCAGAAGGAAGGACCCAGGAGCTGCCGTCACAGCCGGGCTGGGTGGGACGAGGCAGGTGTGTGCGGCCGCTGCCTCTCCCCGGACCCTGGGCCCTGGACCCTGCTTGCTCCTTGGGTCTGACCAGCATCAGAGTCATCGGAACCAGCCCGGACAGGGCTGAGCCAGCGGGGGTGGCAGTCCCCTCGCTGTTAGCTCTTGTCCCCGGGGGACTTGCTCTTGGCCTCACGCTTATTTCCCAGCAGCTTCAGCACCTTCACCTTCTTGAACTTCCCCTTCTTGCTGCCCTCGGGTTCAGCCTCCTTCTGGAACTCTGCAGGAGAGGTGGGGGGGGGGGAAAAAAAAGCCCTGGGCCCGTCACTTCGCCCTCAGCCTCTGGTTCTTTGCCTACAGGACGGGAGCATATTCTCTCCCAGGGTTCTGGCGAGGATCCGGGATAAAGGAACGTGCGATGTCTGACGTATGGCACACGTTTACCCTTAAAAGGCTGATCCCCTAGGCCGGTGCTCACAGCTCCGTGGGTTACAACACAAACACTGACTCAGAGCTGGAAGGAACCTCAGAAATCATCTCTCCGTGCCCTGACTTTATAGACAGACGAGAAAATGTGGGTTTGCAACAGACTAGCACCAACTAAGCTCTCTGTAGATGCCAGGCCCTGGCAAAGTGCTCCCCACACATTTCCCAGTATCCTCAGCACACACCTCTGCAGGCCAGGAGAGTCAGGTTCAAGTCCCCCCCTAATATGCACCAGAGCGGCTGGAAGCCAGCAGTCTGACTGGAGTCCGGACGCAGCCACAAGGCCACAACATGAGTCACAGTGGAACTAAGATTAAACCCAGGTCTCCTGACTGCCCGCTCAGTGCTCCCTTCGCCGCTGCAGGCCCTGCCTTATTGCTGGACGGTACGGCTATTGGAGCCCACAGACTTCTAAGACCAGCCGCAGCTCTCCGGGAGGAAGGCAGAGCTCGGTAAACCACGCTGGGAAAACGTTCACAGCACACCGGTGCTCCCTGTGGGCACCGGGCAGCCACACCCACCCTCCCAGGCCAGGCCGGCCTTCCTGGCCACAGGCCACCTGCCTCGCCACACACGGCCTTCCCAACAAAACAGAACTGGGAGTCGGCACACGCCATCCCTGTAGTGCCCACTCCACCCCTCTGTTCAACCTGGAGCTCAAAGGGGCCGGGCCGTGGAGGGCCTCACCTTTCTTCTTGATCATGGCTTCCAACATCTTATCTTCCTCTTCCTCCCTGAAACGAGAAAGGGAAGCTGAGTGTCCCACAGGAGGAAGGGCCAGAAAATCCCAGTCCCTTCCAGCCTCCGACTCCCCCAGGGTGAACAAGGGTGCCCTGGGGTCGCTCAGTGAGGGCAGGGCTGGCCCGCCTGCTCTGAGCCCTCCCCCCAGGAGCCCCGGGGAGCCCTGACCAGCCCGGTCACCTCTGCCGGTCCTCATCCAGGCAGTTGACAATGGCATTGCGCTGCTCGATGAGGGTCACCATCTCCTGCATCAGCACCTTCTCCCGGCCCCGGTCCTCCTCTGTCCAGTCCTTTTCTGCCCAAGGAGAAACGTTGGGGGTGTGAGTGGTAAGAAACCCCCCTGCCTTCCCAGGAAGCCAGACAGCAACCCCTAAGTGCTGAGTTCGGGCCAGCCCTGTGCCAGAGGCCAGGACGGAGGAGCAGATGGGTGGGGAGTCCACGTGTTGGGAAAGATGAAGGTCATTTAGAGGAGACCAAGGTTGCTGGGCTGCCTACCAGAAACACCACCCGTGGGGCTCAGGAGGCAGCACTGCACCTGCTCTAAGCAGAGACCAGAGAGCAGCGCGTGCAGGTGGCCTCCTGCTTCCGGCATTCGTTCCTTCACAAATGCTCACGGTGGTTTCTCGGAGGAGGCGGGATGGGGCTGGGCCTCGGAGAACCTCCCAAGGCAGCTGGCCAGGGGAGCAGGGATGGAGAAAGAATAGGGAGTCCCAGGGGTCCTCGTGCAGGAGAAGCCCGGTGACCCACGTGGCTTATTGGAACATCAATGCCATGAAGAGGGCAGACTCGAGGGGACCCTGGGGCAGGGAGCCCAGCCATGCACCTGCTGCTCCTCCCGTCTCCTCTCAAGAACCCTCATGGACCACCTCAGGGCCCACAGACCCCGGGGATGGGCGCCCACGTGGGCCTTCCCTCCACACCTGCCACCACAGGACTCCCAGCCATGCCCAGCCCCTTCCACTTCACCTCGCACAGTTCTGGGGACAGCTCAGGCTTCAAGTCCCTCAGTTCAAGTCCTACTCTGCCACTTCCCAGATATGGAGCCCGGGTAAATTATGTCACCGATCTCCATGGGGGGAAGCTGAGTTTCAGGGAAGTCAAGTCCGTGACCAGTGTCACACCGCAAGGATGGAGCCCGTATTTGAACCTGGGCGACCTGACACCATCTGCAGCCCTTATGGTATCTATGGGGCTCCAACCCACTTGGGGCCTTATAAACCAGTCCCCCTGCCAAAGCAACCTCGGGGACAGGTGACAAGGCTGGGATGTGCTGTCACCACGCAGAGGGCTGGAGAAGCAACACAGTAAGTAAGGCCAGAGCCAGGCTGGCCGGGCATACAGGTGCTGTGCCCACTCTGGCCACAGGGTGTCGCTGTGGCTCCCTCCAGGGTGGCCCCGCCTCAGCCTTCCCTGAGATTCGGGAGTGACTACTCTCCCAGGGACACTCTGGCCTCCGGGCCTCATCCCACCTCCCACCTTCCCCAGTCAATGGAGAGGCAGCACCGACCCGCTGGCAGGAAGGGCTGTGTCTACAGAGTCGGGCCCCGGTCAGAGACACAGGTAGAGGCCCAGGTCCACCGTCCGTGGGCAAGACTCCACCTCTCTGGCTCACCTGTTGGTGGAAATGACGGTGCCACACCTGGGCCACAGGAAGTGGTCAGAGCCCTGGCTTCCGCTCTAAACACTCCACAGTCCCTGGGCCTCTGGGCCTGCAGCTGCGGCTCCCGTGTCACAGCCACGGACCCCAGCTCGGCCACTTAATAACCATCATTTCCGCCCTTCAGGGGCCACAGAGTATGTCCACATCCACTGTCACCTGGCCCCACGAACACCCTGTGAGGTAGGTACCCTCATCCTGTCTGACACCTGAAGCCACTGAGGCCCAGGGAGGCCCCTGCCCCCAGCACATTAGCAGCAAAACACAGGATGGTCTGCCTCCTCCCCGACCCTCCAGCTGCGCCCCCACCATCCTGAGCCGGTCCTGCCCCCCCTCCCAGTCATCCTGAGTCACACTGTGCTCTAGCCCAGGCAAGCGGCCGAGAGTTGGGCAGGCTTGTTCTAGCCCAGAGATGGCGAACCTTTTGAGCTCGGCGTGTCAGCATTTTGAAAAACCCTAACTTGACTCTGGTGCCCTGTCACATAGAGGAATTTTTTGATATTTGCAACCATAGTAAAACAAAGACTTATACTTTTGATATTTATTTTATATATTTAAATGCCATTTAAAAAAGAAAAGTCAACCAAAAAAATGAGTTCGCGTGTCACCTCTGATACGCGTGTCATAGGTTCGCGATCACTGCTCTAGCCTGAGGGCATGAGCCCAGAGCTGCTGTCATCCACTCATCAGAGCAGCCCTGGGCTCTGGAGCCTGAGCCCCGCCCCCGGGGAATCCGCCCACCCACACCTGGTGGGGGGGGGGGCAGCCAGTCTGTTCCTGAGCTTGGTGCTCTGTGGGCCAGTCAACTCCGACACACGTGTCCACACTCCCCACTGGCCAAGCCTGTTTATAACCTGCTGCAACCCAGACGGCGCCTCCCAGCCCTCTCCCCAGCCCTGTTCCCAGAGTTGGTGTGTCCCCATCAGGGCGCTGTCCGTCCACTGCCCAGCCTGGAGGGGACAGATGGGTCCCAGGCCTGGGTGGTGCCCGAGGGCATGAGGCCGCACTCACCTGGCTTGTTGAGGAGGCACCTGAGCTCATACTCCACGTCGGCCTGGCGCTGCTCCAGGTTCTGCTGCTTGAAGCTGGAGGGTGGGAATAAGACGACTGTTACTTCGGCCCCACGCAAGGCGGCCCTGGCCTGCGCTGTCAGTGACGTGGGGGGAGGGCGGGGAGTCCCTCCATTCCCAGCTGTACGGGTCCCGGGGCGGGAGTGGGGGGCCGAGGGCGGGAGGACTCACACGTAGATGAGCTCAGACTCCCGCCGCACCAGCAGGTGCTTCTCGTGGATGAGCTTGAACCAGTCCACCAGCATGTCGTCCTCACGGCCCTCTGCAACCAGATGCCCACTGAGGCCGGGTTGGCGCCCTGCCGCAGCTCTCGCACCATTCACCCCGCCTCGCAGCTTCTCTTCCAGCATCACCCCACGGAGCTCCAGGGCATCCAGCTGGCGCTCGATGGTGTCCACCTCTCGGTGGATGTCCTCCTCGGGGATGTACTGGTCAGCCTGGACCTGCCCGACAGCACCCCGGTCACCTGAGGAACAGCCACCCGGCCCTGCCTGCTGCCAGGACCTTCACGTTCTCGGGCCGGCACTGGCCGCCACAGGCCCAGGGCCCGGGCGCCATCCCACGCCCTGTGCAGCACCCAGGGTGGGGAAGGGTTGCTGTGGGCACAGACACAGCGCTCCATGCCCCTGGCCCCGGCACCAATGGGCACACGCAGAGGCACAACTTCCTGCCCCTCCTCTGCCACTCCCTAGCCGCTATCCCAGTGTGGGTGGCCATGCTATAGAGCAGTGATGGCGAACCTTCTGAGCTCGGCGTGCCAGCATTTTGAAAAACCCTAACTTAACTCTGGTGCCGTGTCACATAATTCAAATGCCATTTAACAAAAATCAACCGAAAAAATGAGTTTGCGTGTCACCTCTGACATGCGTGTCAGAGGTTCGCCACCACTGCTATAGAGGTGCACTGGAGAACACTGGTCCATCTTACTAGAGGAGTCATGTGAGTGCTCTGATCCTTCAGCTACTCTTAGTAACGAGCTGGAGGCACCACCCATTGCTCCTGCTTGCAAACAGCTGTTCTGCTCGAAATCCCCCTGGTCAAGTTAACCTTCCAGCTGGACCACCCACGCGCCTCTCCAACATCTGGGCACAGCTGCCCAGGCAGCCCATCCTCCCCACGTGCCCCACGGGGAGCCTGCGGCTGCCACGGAGGGCTGGCCCGGCAGCCTGGAGCTCCCAGCTGGTACCTTGCGCTTGATGAGCGGGAAGCCGTGTCCCGGGGCAGGAGGCCTTGCTGGCTTGGGTCCTTTGGTGGCTTTCTTTGGGGCTGGGGACGCTGTGGGCGACGCCTTCCGGTTAAAAGGATTCTCCTTGCAGGAAGACTAAAGGCAGGTGACACGACAGAGGGTAAGTCTGGGAAGGGAGCAGTGGGACTTTGGAAAGCAGGCTGGCCCCGGGGCAGGGGAGGGGGCCCCCCCCCGCAGAGAGGCACCTCCTAGCATTCAGTCTCTGAGGCCCTCAGTCATCCAACACACTTCCCATTCCCTACCGCCCAGTGCGGAACTCGTACATATGCTTTCACGGTGGGTATTGTGATGCCCCCTTTACAGCTGAAAAGGTCAGAGAGGCTGAGTAATAGGCTCAAGGTCATGCACTTCCCAAGGGCCCCAGCCGGGCTGAGCATGTGTCAGGGCAGGGCGGGCAGCCATCCAGCCCTGGGGCAGTGGTCAGGTCTTGGGAGTTTAGGGCCAACAGAGCTGTCGTAGCTCATTCAGGCCTCATAACCGCCCCTTCCCCAGCGAGGACCCCCAGGCTCAGAGAGGCACTGCTCCCTGCCCAGCGTGGCCCAGTCGGGAAGTAGAAAGCAGGGGATCCTCCCCCCCAACTCCGCCCCAACCCACACCGCCTTGCATCTGGCCAGCAGGTGGCGGAGAGCACTCCCGCCTGCCCAGGAAAGAACCCTCTCCCCACTGGCCCCTTCGTGCACCAGAGCCTCTCTCTCTCTCTCTCTCTCTCTCTCTCTCTCTCTCTCTCTCTCACTCCCTTTCCCTCTCTCTCCCTCCCAGCACAGCTGGCAGCCCTAGCACCTCCAACCACTTCCCCAGCCCCTGGAAACAGAGGGACAGAGGGGTCATCAGGGCCCCATGGAGAGGCCTCACGGGCAGTGGCGTGTTCCCCGAGTGTTTCCCCAGCAGCCGGGGAGGCCGGGGCCCTGCTCACCCGCTGTGCAGCCCGGGGACAGGTTCCCTCCGGGGTAGCTGCTCTGAGTCAGGCATGGCAGGGAGGCAGGTATGATCCCCGCAGGGCAGCACCCACCCGAGACCCCCTCTTCTGCCCACAGTGCCTCTGCCACCCTCCCCTACCCTTGGGGTTAGGGTGTGGGGATGCCTCAAACGGAAGCCAGCCCACTTGGGGCTCTACCTCCTCTCTCCGCAGTCGCACCCCGAGGGGCTCAGCAGCGCCAAACAGCCTGAAACCCCAGCCCCTCGGGGGTCCTCAGCCTTTTCTCAGACACAATTCCTTCACCCCAAGACGGTGTTTAAAGGGAGCGGCCTAAAGTCACCCCCTCCCCACCTCCCACCGAGGAACCCTGCAGCTTCTCAGAGCCGCTGAGGCCTAGAGAAGGGGCGGGGCCAGAGAAAGGGCAGGGCGGCCTTCTCCAGGGTCAGCAGGTGGGTGGCAGAGCTGGACGGGCAGCCTTGGCAGAGGTCAGGGAAGGTTAAATGCCTGAGAGGCACATGGGCAGAGGCTGGACCAATAGCTCAGCTGCCTCCCAGCCTTGTCCTCTGTCGGGTCAGACCAGGACCACAGCTGCCCATAGGAGCCGTCCGGCCACTTCCCCGGGGGCTGGACCAGCTTTTGCCTTCCGAGAGCTCAGAGTGTGGGCGAAAGTGGACGATCAGAACCTGGTGGCCCAGAGGGGCTGTGGCTGCAAGAGAGGCCCCTCAGGAACTAGGTGCCCAGAGGAATGTCCTGACCCCTGGTGACCCCCCGTTCTTGGCGTGGGAGTGAAACAAGTGTGCAGACAGCCCACGAAGGTCATGAGTTCCCTGGGATGGCCACCTCATGCCCACGCCACCCCCGAAAGGAGACGGAGTGCAGGACGGGCCTGGGAGGGCCTCTGGCATAAATAGGGCCTCAGGGAACAGAAGGGTGGACAGGAGGATGTGCGGATGGATGGTGGCTGGGTGAGTGGATCCTGAAGGGAGAAGTGCATGGATAGGCAGGTAAGCAGGTGCCTGAATGCATCAATGCCTACAGGCCAGGCGGGTGGACAGGTGAAGAAATGGACGGGAGGTCTGGCCGATGGAACGACAGACAGATGGATTTGTGCCTCAGTGAATGGGGTGACGAATGGGTAGATGGACACGGCAAGGTCAGTCAAGAAGTAAGAGGCCAGCAAAGATGGACGCCACGGACATTCCTGTCCTGAGACCAGACCCCATTCACTGACAGGCCAGCTTCTGGGCGAGGATGAGGCACTCACCTTTACCTGGAGCTGCGGGGAGGAGGTGCCAGGCAAAGGCACGGGGACCTTGTCTCCCACCAACAAGAGCGGGGTGGGGGCAGCGCCACTGCAGGGCTTGGCTGGCTGGGCACCCGAGCTGCCCCTTGTGTTGGGGGCGAGTCCAGGGCTGGCTTGAGGCGTCCGGTCCGGGGTGGGCTGCGCCAGCTCCCCAGAGGAGGACAGGGAGGAGCCCGCAGAGAGGCTGGCAGAGGTCCCGGGGGTGCCCGGAGCGTGGACAGCAGGCTCTGAGGAGCTCTTGGGCACAACCGGCGGCTCCAGGA